GTTCTTCAAGAAAACATTCTGGAACCACATGGCACCAAGCTCATCATCAACCCAAGCTTTCTCCTGAAAAGCCCAGATAGCGCCCTGTGGTCCATCAGCAGTATTGAATGACAATAAAGATCTGGGGGTTTTGCCTTTAACAATAAACATTGGTGGCATTTTATCGCCATGTTAAGTGCCATGCACGCCACTGTCCCGTGACATTGTCTGCTCCCGAACCATGCTAACCCTGCTCGGGACACTCATCTACAACCTTTATGGATAAGACTACATTAACAGGTGTGTGTTCCAGATGGAATCCACTCTCATCCATGTTCCATATTTTTGCTGGAGCATGGATAAGAGCTTCATTGGTTAAAATATTACCCAAACTTGAGAAGTATTCTTGTATGTCTCCTTTAATCATGCTAGAGGATCTGGATGTTGACAGCTTTTGAGGCTTCCTCAGAGATAAGTCCGGGTGCCTGCGCATAAAGCCATAGTACCAGTTTTTCCCGGTGTACCGTGTCTAAATGGCGTTTTAATGTTCAACTTGTTTCCAAGTTTTCCCGCTTTCGCCATCACTTGAGCCCTTGTTAAACCAAAGCCCTCATCGGCTGCCACTTTAATCTTAGCAGCGAACTGGTTCTCAGTATTGGCATCGAAAACAGGTTTGGCGCCCGCCTTCGAACCGTCCTTAACTTTACCTGTTGCATGATCTGAAATTGTCAATCTTGGTATACCATAGATTTCAGCTGCTTTACGCAGGGACAAAGTTCGACTACGAACTTTTTTCACCGCTTCTCCGATTTTAGTGATGTCATACTTCTTGTACTTAGTCGCAGAGGGCATCCTAAAATAAATGAAAAGAAAAACTGACGACTTGAGAATTGAACTTTAATTGGATACATTTCAAAATTGAATATATGCCATCACTTCACGCAATTTCAGGTTTAAGTCGGCATTCTTCATTGTCCTCAAGTCTCTTGAGTACCCGTTTTGCCATTACCAGCACTGGCACTGGGGACATTTGCAGCACCAAAAACTTCCAAAGTAACCATCCTGGTCAGATCCCCGCAGACACTGACTGAGTTTAGTTTTACGCCGCTTTTAGCAATATTCCAGCAATATCACGGCGGGGGACACCAGAAATGGGCTAAACACATTGTGCCCATGTGGGGAATCGAACCCGGGTCTTCGGCGTGACGAGCCAACGCTTTAACCACTAGGCTACCCCACCGCCCCTCCCCCGCAGACAGGGTTGTCAAATAGATTTATAATAAGTTCTACGAGTTGAACTTGAACACCATCGAATTGGGGTTCCGAAAAAAACAATTGCCTGATTTGATATTTCATGAAATCGTCCTGAATAAACCATTTTTAATTAAGGTTTCTGGCAGTCAACGATGACACAATATTGGTGTTCATGCCTGAAAAATTAGGAGCAATGCATTTTTTAAATTCTGCTTATATTAAGCCCCAAAATCAGTAGTTGATTTGTACACGCTAAAATATTAGACTCAAAATTAACGCAATCGACTTCATGGCTCCATACTGTCACATATTCTTTTGGAATAGGAATCTTTTTGGTCTTATGTTCTATGTATAGTTTGTAAATAAATTTCATGTAATAAGGTGTTATAATATGTTAGATTTCTTTTCCAAATGTTTGATAAAAAGTTTGTTCAAATCATTATATAATGTACAGGTAGACAAATTATGTGTGGCTCAGTAATTATGAAATACAATTAAATTATTTTTTTAAAATGAGATTTCAACATTTGCAAATCTTTAAATCTATAATCTGCGTTGGTGCTTTTAAATATTCCAATTTCACCCAGTCCTAGTTTAAGGCATCGGTATATTATACCTCAAGCAATGTTTTCATTACATAATTATGTTTTTTTAAATCGAGAGCTAATTTACAAAAAAAAAGAATAAAAGATTGACCGATTTTATAGGACTTAAGCTAAATTGTCCTTTAATTTCGGTCGTTTATATTTTCATATTTTTTAAACCAACTTTATTTATTTTGAATGAAACTTATAAAACCAATTCGCCAAATCTTTTCACACCTAGAATGTGCACATAAATTGATGACGTGGAACACCTCACCTGTCAAGAATATCATCAATGTTGCTATCTTTGAGAAGTGCGTGACAGTCGAGGTCTTTGAAATATGCCGCCAGGAACGCAAAGATCAATGACGTAACGTTGCCGACGTATTGCGCATAAAGTAGTGACGCAATACCCGGAAGTAAGTGAAAAGGTGTTTCCGGAGAAGTCACATGGTTTCCATATACGGAAAACAACAACACGGCTATCACGGGTTTTGAAATAATTTATTGCAAACAAAGTGACCGAAAATATGGTCACGACCGGTGATTCAGGACACTACTCTAGTGTGTATTTTCACTTCCTATTCTGTTTCGAGCATTACTTTGTCTAGGTTGACTTCTGCGGTTTAATTTGTTTCGACCACTTCTTGCACCGTTGAATCGGTCTCTACCTCGGCCACGGGAAACAGCGTTCACGCTATTAAAGCTTGATTCGGATTTCTCAGCATTTGTCGCCTGTGTTTCGCTTAAATCCAATGATTTTCAACTCTAAGTATATCTTTTAGTTTGAGCTTTTCTCGAAGAGCTTTTCTACGGAGCCTTTTTGAAGTGCATTATATCACGATCTGAGCAGCGATTTCTGTGTTAACATCGGTAAAGTCACAGGTGCCTATGCACTGTGTCAGTGCTTTCAGATTCAAGCTGTTTTGCCATGCGGAATGTGTGGACTGCAACCGCCGTGTTTACGAAGTGTCTCGGTGAGCTTTTCTTTAGCTTTATCATAATATTATTCTCTGTTACCCGTATCAGAGAGAGTCTAAAAATATTGGCAACATAGGCTCTGAACAGTGTCGAAGTAATTATGCACGTTTGCGTTTGGTCTGAAATGTCTAGTGCAAGCATCTATCTTTCAAACCTCGCAAGATATTGTGTCCAATGGGGTCCTGCATTTCAATCACAATCTACATTAGGTAAATGCACATATGAAACATGGTGGTTCTCGTCTGCTAAAAGAACACAAAGTGACGTCACCATTTTAGGGTGTGACGTCATCAGTTATCGTTGTCCTATACACGCAACACCAGGGGGGCGTTGTTTAGCCGATACGCTGTGCAGCGCTGCGCTTCTATTGGCTAAACAACGCCTCGCTGCATGCATTGCAGCGCTTCGGCGTGCAGCGGCTGAGAGAGGTGCTTCCTGCGTAAGCGAAGCGACATTTAAAATGGCGTCATGGCATGTCATTCTGCAAGGTAACAGAGAAAACTTGTCCCTATTGGTCACAGAAGAGCACACAAAACGCCTAAAAGCTGTCCAGATGTAGTGTAGAGTGTCTTCTCATGAGTTGTTGCGCATACAATTCAAAATCATTGCATGGAATATCTTCTGCAGCTTCGTGTGCCAAATGTGTGGCTAGTATCGGTGATGTGTTTATATTGGACGACGCCATATTGAATGAAGCGCTCTCACAGCAGTCCGTTGCATGGGAAAGCATCGATCTACATGGGATACGATGGCATGTGTCAACAAAGTCAGCGAGCCTGACCACCAGACCCCGTTTGTTGCCTCTTACAAGCATGGTTTGCTGAAGTCCAATTCTCACTTGTCGGACTTCAGTGACCATGTTTGTTGTAACAGGCGATCAAAATTTCTATGCGCTCACTTGTAAATAAAATTAGGGACAAAACCCTTTCCACACTCTTACGAAATCTCTGCTAAAAGCAGAGTCCATTGTACCATTGTGACTTTAACATGGGCTTATATTTGTTTCTGCAGTATTACTGCTGAACGATGTTTGTCTTGAATAGAAGGCACTATTCGATTCGATTCATTTTGACAGCTGTTTAATTACGTCACTTTTACACAGAAATACATCGAACAAGGTTCAGCGGATCAGAGCACATGGTTCAGAGGATTGACACAGTTCACAACAATAAAAAGCAGGATTAGGAATGTACATAAAACGGAAAAAGAACATTAAAGCGAAATGGGATTTACAATTATCCCCTAACTCGGGAACACTCCCTGACACTTTAGGACAGCCGCCCCCAAATTTATGGAATAAATTTGCACATAGAAATTACAGTCAATCATGGCAATTCTGGCAGCAGCACCAGCTTGGTCACTGGTCTGTGGTACTTGTCTCCCCCAGATACACGTACTACAGCAGACCGGATTCTGCCATCCGGGCTAGGGCAGACTTCAACAACCCTTCCAACAGGCCACTGTCCTCGGACCTGTTGACTATCAGCGATCAGAACAGGGTCTCCAACTTTGAGTTCAAGTCCATCTTTGTACCACTTATCTCTAAGTTGCAGATTGGGCAAGTAAAACTGGATAAACTTCTTCCAGAACTGGTCAGCTACAGTTTGGCAGTGTCGCCAGCGGCTCTTCCCTAGTCTCTGCTCTGCAGGGTAGACCACTTGGGGAAGGGACGGATCTGGCCTCCCAGTCAGCAGTGAGAAGGGAGTAACAGGGTCGACATCGGAGACATCACTGGATACATAGCCAAGGGGTTTAGAGTTGAGTATCGCTTCAACTTCAACCAACACAGTCCGTAGAGTGTTCTCGTGCACTGCTTCAATACCTAGAACAGTACGAAGTCCATGTTTCACAGATCTGATCTCTCGTTCCCAAGTACCACCAAAATGAGGAGCATATGGTGGATTGAATTTGAATTCGATCTGCTGTTTGGAGAGACCCTCGGCCAGGACTGGATTCATGGCTTGGAATGCCTCAGACAATTCCCTTTCACCACCTTTGAAAGGTTCGTTCCACAGTCGGACAGGATTTCATGGGGTTTACCTCTTCGGGAGATGAAACGACGAAGAGCCATCAAGAATGCATCTGTGTCCATGGATTCCAGCAGATCCAGATGAACGGCTCTGGTTGTGAGACACTTGAAGATCACTCCAAATCGTTTCTCTTTTCGTCGGCCAATTTTGATGTACATTGACCCAAAACAGTCTACTCCGGTGGAATAGAAAGGAGGCTTGAAGAGCCGTAATCTCGAGGAGGTAGATCAGCCATCTTTGGAACCTCAGGATTGGCTCTCCAGCGCTGGCAGTCATAACACTGTCTCTGGTGACGTTTTACAGCTTCTCTACCACGGAGAATCCAGAACCGTCTTCGCAGTTCAGCAAACACGCGTTCGGAGCCATAATGATGAAGCTTCACATCATAGTGTTTGATCAGTAACTTAGTGAGAGGGTGTTTAGGATCCAATACGATTGGATGCATAAGTTCAGAGGGAATGTCACTTGAGTTTCTCAACCTTCCTCCTACTCGAATAAGACCTGTTTCTGGCTCATACTCCGGACTCAGTTGCCTCAGCCTGCTGGAGGAACTGAGAGGCTTCCCAGTTGAGAGTGCAGTGAGCTCCTCAGGGAAGGATTCTTTCTGTATCTTGCAAAACAGTTCATGCTCAAGGTCACAGGTGGCAAGGTCTGGAGCAGCCGCCCCATCAGAGGTACACATATTGGATCTGAGTGAGTCAACGGCAGAGTCCCAGTCTTCATGTGACGACATGTCAGACAACATGGTAGCTATACCACAAAAGGTCCTCTTCAGTTCATTTAGGGTTTCCACAAACTTCGCTTTTCCCAGTGGCCACTGTTCAGGAGGATCAGAGAGGAAAGATGGGCCATGTCTCCATCTAGAGTTTGTAGAAGACAATTCACTCAATGTTAATCCACGGGTGATATCATCAGCGGGATTGTCTCTGGTATTAACGTATCTCCAGCTGTGATCTTCAGTCATGTTTTGGATCTCTGCCACTCTAGTGCCCACAAATACTTTGTACCTGCAGGAATCTGACTTGAGCCAGGAGAGGACAGTTGTTGAGTCACTCCACAGAGTAACACTAGTGATTGGTAGAGTTAGCTCACTGGTCAATGTTTCACTCAGCTGAGCCCCTAGTAATGCAGCAGAGAGTTCAAGGCGCGGAATGGAGAGACACTTCTTTGGAGCAACTCGACTCCGAGCTGACATGAAGGCGATACTGCTCTCGCCATCTTCATCCTCAGTTCTCAGATAAGCTACAGCTCCATACACCTTCTCAGAGGCGTCACAAAAGATGTGCAACTGCAGATTGGCAGCTTTAAGGGATTGGGGATGGTAACATCTCGGGAGATGAATCCATGGACATTTCACAGAGTTCTGATTCCCACGTGTTCCAATCTTGTAGAATCTGACCAGGTTCTATCGGTTCATCCCATTGACGTTTCTTTATCCAGAGGTCTCGGACCAGCACTTTGGCTCTGGCTAGGTAGGGTGAGAGATAGCCAAGTGGATCATACTGGCTGGCAAGGATCCTGTAGACAACTTTCATTGTCAGCTGATGGTATGAGATTGGCCGGTACTTGTAAGAGATCTCATCTTCAACACAGTTCCAACTGAGGCCGAGGGTGGATTCCTTTGGATCTTCATTTTCTTGTGCAAGCCACAGCTCACAGCTCTCAGACTTAGCATCAGTTGGAAGATCTCTAATGACCTCTTCACTATTACTGGCCCACTGACGCATGTTGAATCCTCCAATGGCAAGGAGTTTTCTCATCTCAACAATAAGTTCCTTGGCTTCAGTAACGTTGGAAACACTTTCCAGGCAGTTGTCTACATAAAAGGATTGGAGAATAGATTGAGCAATTTCTGGATACTCTGTTTGGTTGTCAATCGCATGTTTCCTCAGAGCAAAGGTTGCGCAGCATGGACTGCAGGTTGTCCCAAATGGTAACACTTTCCATTCATAGATGTCTGGTTCACGGTCCCTCTGGAGGTTGCGCCATAGGAAACGCAACAGACATCTGTCTTCAGGCAGTAATCTTATCTGATGAAACATTGCTTGGATATCTCCTGATATGGCAACTGGCTTCTGGCGAAATCGCAGGAAGACTCCTAGCAACGAAGAACAGAGGTTTGATCCAGGAAGCAGGTGATTGTTCAGGGCCTGTCCAGAATACTCATATGAGCAGTTGAAGACCAGGCGGTACTTCTCGTGCTGTCGGATGACATGATGAGGAATGAACCATGATTCAGTGGTTGAAGCAGCTTCACTTTCATTGATGATCTGCACATAATCCTTGTCTACAAGTTCTTGGATCTTCTGATTGTGGATATCAGCCAGATCTGGATCACGGCAGAGACGTTTCTCCACAGAGCGAAGACTTCCCATCACGGATTCTTTTCCAGCATGGAGAGGAGTGCAATCTGGCTTCCTCAGGAGTGGAGTAGCATAATGGTTGGTTTCTCCATTACTGACATTCACAGTCTTTGATTCCAAGATCTTTACTGCAAAATTGTCCAGCTTGGATCGGGTCACAGCTTTGGATGTGAAGGGAATCACCTCAGCTTTCCACAGTTTCACAACATCATCCATAAGTTGAGTAGAGGGGTTCGAATTCGAAGTCAGGAGACAGCATTCACGGTTTGCTGAGGTAATGTCTTTTGCCAATCCCTGGAGGGTCCATCCAAGCTTAGTACAGACAGCCACTGGTGCATTTGATGGGCCAAAACAGATCGGAGTTTGTGGTAATATCAAATCTGCATGGTCAGAACCTATCAGAATGAAGGGCTTTGCCTCATGAATGTCATGTAGAACAGCATCTTGCAGATGAGCATATTCCCTCTGGAGGGATTTGACTGGGTAGGAATACTCTGACAGTGCAAGCTGATCAGAAGCGAAAGCTTTGCGAATGGAATACTTGAAGCGAGGATCGTCTCGAGGTGAGATAGTAAGGTTTACAGAATGTCCAACACAGTTGAATGGCTCACTTTGGATCGTAGTCAGTAGAATGTCATCTGGTTCAGTGTTAAGATCAAGCTGTCTGACAGCGGGCATCATGATCATTGTCCTCATTGATCCATCATCCAATACTGCATAGGTTTCAAGAGTCTTTCCACTAGGTTCACTCAAGATGACTGGCACAACTTTCAGGATCACTCTGTAGGATCGAGAAGGCTGGTCCAACACCTTTTTCTGTCCCTTATCCATGTAATCACTTCATCAACCTTCAATCTCTTGAAACTGTTACAGAAACTGATGTGATGATGTTCGCTGTTACAGAAGGCACAGTAGGACTTGTAGGTTGTTTTTCCACCTGTAGGAACATCAGATTCTGGTCTTGCATGACTGGACGTAGTTACAGTGTTGAGAGAGACAGGATGATTTGGTTGTTGTGACCTTGTAGGTCTGGATCCGCGGTCAAGATTCATCTGGGATCGAGTATCAGACTTCACAGAACTGACAGCCTGCTGGGCAATGCGACTAGCTCTGGACTTGGCCTGGATCCAATCATTCAGATGTATCAAAGTGTAGGTAGATTGTGCTTCATGGGTAAGAATACCATGGTTGAGACAGTACTCAATGAAACTGGTTTGTAAATGAAAGGGCAGTTTTGTCAATAATTTATCCACGTGGGATCCACATTTCAATTCAACACTTGATTCACCTTCAATACTTGTCAACATGCCAACAAGAGATTGCACCGAGAGGGCAAAGTTGTCGAGGGCAGCGTGGTCGCTGGATTTTACAAAGGGCAGGGACAAGATAGAGTTTAATTCTCCTAAAACCAGCTGGCGAGGACGACCATACTTCTCAGTTAGGGCTCTCAGCGCCATGGTATATGGTGTAGCGTGACTCAGATAGGCACATGCTAGCTTCTTGGCGTTACCCCTAAGGTGATCCATCAATATTTGATACTTGTACTTCTCTCTCAAATGAGGGTGACAGTCGATAAGGTTTTCAAATGACATCTTCAATAGTCTGAAATCCTTCTCATTATCAGTATCAAATGTTGGTAAACTTGGTCTTGGTAGACCAAATGAGGAGGAAATGAGAAGTTCTGAGAGACCGGTAGGTGCCGTGGGTATCGGCGCAGTCGGTAGGTTGATCATCACAGGTTGAGTAGCATGATGGGCAGTAGTTTGCTGGGCAGAAAGCCCTTGTGTGGACCGGACTTGTCCTGTTGGCGGTAGGGTTGGAAGGGTCGGCGCTGAGGTAGGTAAGCTTACTTGAACTGTAGGTCGGGTATGTGTGCTGGACGTAGTGAGGGTATCACACATCATCTGTGTCGTAGCACTTGCAGGTATGGCACTGGAGGTTTGGCAAGTAGAGGTAGAAGGCAATGATGTGGTCGGAGCCAAAGAAGTGGGGGTAGGAGGTTGTGATTTTGTATGAGGAGTCGACGTAGTCGATATCAACATTGACTCTATCATACTAGCCTCAATAAGTTCATCTTGGGCTTGTCTAAGTTCACGAGCACGACAAATTTCTGTTTGTTATTTCTCCCAATCTTTGAGAACACGACGAGTAGTCTCTTGTGCCTTAAAGGCTTCATCATCAAGCTGATTGATCTTTTCATCAGCAAGTTCATCCTCCTTTTGCCTAATCATTAGTTCTTGCAACTTCTTTTCACTTTGTATTCGCTTAACGTGAGATATTTGCTCATCTGATAATCCTGAACGTGCCGAAAGATGACTGAAAACAGACATTTTGCTTTGCCTACTTCGTCCACTTCCACAACGAGACCCCTGAGGTGATTTTATGAGTGCTTCACTTTTTTACTACAGTTCGGTCGCATGGCTCTGAAAGCACGTTTGATACGTTCAGTTCATAATCTGAGAGATAATCAGGAGGTCGCCTCTCTCTAGAAGACTTCCTAGGTTCACTGGGATCACTCATTTTGTGTGACAATAACAGTATATTTCAACAGTTCAAAAGTTCATAATGGATCAACGTGAGTGTGTGAGGTACTGTCATTTCGTCATACTCACGACACGATGCTGAAGTTCGGCTCAGGCAGCTGTCAATATCCGCCTCGCGGGACCATGTCTTGAATAGAAGGCACTATTCGATTCGATTCATTTTGACAGCTGTTTAATTACGTCACTTTTACACAGAAATACATCGAACAAGGTTCAGCGGATCAGAGCACATGGTTCAGAGGATTGACACAGTTCACAACAATAAAAAGCAGGATTAGGAATGTACATAAAACGGAAAAAGAACATTAAAGCGAAATGGGATTTACAATTATCCCCTAACTCGGGAACACTCCCTGACACTTTAGGACAATGTTTGTAAACAAATCGAGTCTGGAAAAGACAATCCAGTGATTGTCACCATAGCATGACACAGCCTGTGTGTATGAATCACTCTGAAATAGTGATGATACCAGGTTTTCGCGAAAAGGTGAGCGTACCCTGCCCCACCGGTGGCACCCTTCAAAAACATATACTAAGTCTAGTCAGTTGTTCACCTAAAATAATTCGGTACGTATGGTACAGGTCAAGATAGGGAATTGCATCGGACATATTTTTGTCACTGATGCATCAAATTTCGAAATCACCTCCACATGTCTACCATGAAACTATTTGAAGGCTTTGAATGTTGTAACCTTGATCAAACAACTTCTGAACTTGAGTGGTATGGCGCTCTTTGAAATCTAAGTGAAAAAGCATGCTCGATTGCATCTCAAAAGGTGTGGAGATGTTGGTATATTGCTCGACATGAAAGGAAAGTTGACTATTGGGAAGTTGAAATCATCCCATGTGATATACAGCCTTGTGGCGAGTTGGGCTTTTTTTTGTCACTCTGAATCATTATGCATAGATCTGAATATGAAACAGTTGAGGCGGTCTCGCCTGTCTCCTTAATTTCAAGTTCAGGTGGGTTCAATCAGTTGAAGGAAATTGGCGATTTGATGGTTATTGAACGATATCAAAATCATCGATGTCTAAAGCTTGTGTTAACTTCTTGGCCAATTTACCTTGTTTGCTTTTGCCAACCCCAGCAAAAATTCTGATTGACAAACAGATCCGCTAGGAAGGGAGCACACTTGGTGCTTATGGGGATGCCTACAACATGTACGTCTGTCTTGTCGAAATGTTTCACCCCCAAATTTTAAAAAAATGTTATCAGAGAGAAAGTCCGCAATTTCACACTTTGTTTTCTCGGTAAACTTCAAATGACATTTCTGGTGTCCACCGCCGTGATATTGCCGGAACATTGCTAAAAGCAGCGTAAACCAAACTCACTCACTCAAATGACATTGCTCTCTTTCTATAGAAACTGTCCTGAACCTCTGACGATTGATATGTATCTATTGATATGTATCTATATATCCGTTCTCACCACGTTTGTTTACAAATCCCCATGGATCCAGGAGTTTTTTCCTTGCATGTGGGATAGTGATAATAGTATATACTATGTTGAAAAATCGAATGTTTTGACAGAACGGAACTCTGTCCGTTTCTGAGATTGCAAAAATGTAAGCAAATCCTTAGGGTTTTTGAGAATCCACATGATGTTAATTCCGCTTGTCTCAAATACTTTCTGTCAATATGGAGAGCCCAATACTGTTTCCTTTTTTCCAGTTTGTGCATTCTTCCACTGACAACATTACGCACTTACTTACTCACTCGATCTGAAAGACCTTCTACAGGTTCATGTTATCTTTTGGCCCATTTTTGGCATTTGTTTCCACAGCATCCATAATGGTTAGATTGGTGGAGGCTGTTCAGGATATTTAGGTCCATATTTATATGGTTGACGAAGGTTGCCAGCCTACTGTCAGCAATGGAGAAGTCACCTGTGATTATATCTTTTGCAGGTTGGTAGCAATTCTTTGAGTCTTGGCCCCCACACGAGGTGAAATTTACATCGTGATCTGCCAAATCCATGTTCTGCAAACACGTTCCTGTATGAAATTGGGTTCGTATAGGAAAATGATATTGTTGGTATTTTCTAAAATATTTTGGCACATTTTGGGAAACTGATTTTTGCCTCAAGAGTATTGCCTAAATTTAAAGCATCAGTTCCCTTGTTTGCAAATTTCAGATTCGGGAACATGCGGTCTTGTCTGATTCAGGCGAGTGTGTTTCTGGTTTCGAAGCAATTTTTAGAACTCTACTCTCTAGTTGAGACTGGGGCTTTTGCTGTCTGTAGTTCCATCCACCATCAAAAGTTGGATTAAATTCTTTACATGGCTGAGAGTATATTCTTATTCCCACTTTGTGCAGTCCCAATAGTTCGCACAGGAACCAACAACTCTTCCAAGTGAATGGCATTTCGCCTTCGTCCCTTCCTGTTACGATGGCTGCGCGGACGCCTTTGGGAAGCTGGAAACCGTTACTCATTGGCGTTGGCAGTTATTCTGTTAGAATTTTCGCATTCTTATTCTCCTGGAATATTGTGCTTTGCAATTAAAACGATGAGATGACTCTTTCTCACAGTCTGACTAAGTCCGATCCTCCTTGTCTTTTCCGAGATTTGGCCTACTCTGAAAAAAACTATCAATTAATAATAATAATGTGCTCCATACCAGAAATTTCATGTTGTTTTTCAAGAGTCAAATCATTAGCAAAGTCAGTATGATGTCTGAGTATCTCAAGCTGTAGGAAGTACTCAACTCTGTCCCGGTAATCGTATGTAGGTCCTGATTTTACCCTCAGTGTTTTACCTTCATAATTCTTCTGTCCTTTAATCTCTCTGTCACCAGTGTCCTCATTCTTCCTCCGACTCCAACAACGAACAATTGTTTCAATCCCAAATATATTTGATTACATTACAACATTGAACAAATCAAGTTCAATGTGATTATAACACCTGTTTTATTTGGAATTACACTTTGTCAGTAAAGCACAGAATCTAATACTTGTACTGGGCTGACTCTGTTGGGGTGTGTGTGTGTGTGCGTGTGTGCGTGTGTGTGTGTGTGTGTGTGTGTGTGTGTGTGTGTGTGTGTGTGTGTGTGTGTGTGTGTCAACAATTTGGTTCTGGGGAGATAGTGGGGTCATCAATTCTGTCCACATGAACTGCTTAAAGAGGGAGGAGGAGGG